ATGAAAAAGCTCCAGCTCATCAAAGTATCGCAGATGCAGAGTTTTTTAAGAGAAAATTTTTTTTCGAAAATCGGTCAATTTCTTTAGAGTTCTGGTAGCCCCCGAAAGAGTTCTATAGGTTTTCCTCATGACTTAAATCGATTCGAGCAAAAATGAAAGAGTTCTAGCTCATCGAAGTATCACAGATGCCAAATTTCTAAAAAAATTTTCTCTTGTACAAATTTTTTTTCAAAAATCGGTCAATTTTGTTAGAGTTCTTGTAACCCCTTTTTTCTTTTTTTTTCTTTTCTTTCTTTCTTTTTTTTGTTTTTTTCTTTTTTTTTCTTTCTTTTTTTTGGTTCGTAACGAATCTCGATTTCGGCCGCTTTCTAAAATTGTGTATATCGGGGCGCTATAATCTTTAATGTGTTATTACAACTTCGCTTAGAATCTAAACCTAGACCTTGTCTTCGACATTATGTGATGATGTGTCGAAAAACCGCGAACATTAAGTCTGAGTGTATATTGTCTCGACATAATCGCGATTTCTTATACATGGGCCTGATTCCCGTGTCGATCGGGAATCAGTGAGATAAGACATCGAAGGCTAGAGAAGACGAAATTGTCACTTCTTCCTCGACTTTCGGCGATACTTCTTGTACCATTTCTAGTAGAGCGCTCTTCGGTGGAATATCGGTCGGGTGCTAGTTAAACTTTTGTTTATTAAATTACTGTTTTGTTTAACGTGACGGCAGTTAATCACCTCCCTTTACTTCTTCTTTAAAAAGTGCGTTTACATTGCGAACACCCCCGAAGAGTTCTATCGATTTTCCTTAAGCGTCAAAGTGCTGAAGGTAGAAAAGTTATGGCGTTTTAAATTTACACAATTGTGAAGTTGGCCCTCCCATAACTTTATTTCGTGTTTTGCCCAACGGTTTTACGTAATCAACGGAACTCTTTTTTTTATTGATAGAGAACTCTAGAACTCTTTGTGGGGCAATCAGAACTGTTCAACTTTTTCAAATTTTTGAAAGGTGGGGCTAACTTCACAAAGATAGGATTGGAACCTCTAAGCTCACGTTGAGCATACTCTGGCGCGGTTTTTGGATAATTCGCACAAGATGCCTCGTTCGGGACCGCGTCGCGATACCTACTCAGCTAATGAGCGATTTGCCGAGAGAAAGAATGTCCGTCCTGACGTGCAGTTTTATTCATTGCGTGCTAGATTATGCTGGGCCGGATTTTATTCGCGCTTCCGCTGGGCGCGGAATCGTCTCGCGCAAAGCATATATTGCGCTCTTTGTCTGTCTGGCAACGCGCGCGATACATCTCGAGCTTGTCGCGGATTGCTCGGCTCAATCCCTTTCAAATATTTTCGCTCGCTTCTCCGCGAGTCGCGGTTTCCCCGCCACCATGTACTCCGACAACGAAACAAACTTCGTCAGGGCTGAAAGGGAGCTCGCTTCTGCGTATCGTGCCGCGCTTCGCGATCCAAATTTCTAAAATCGCACGACTACCGGTGGCATTGCGTGGAAGTTATACCCCCTTCAGCTCCGCATTTCGGCGGACTTTGGGAGGCCGGCATAAAGAGCATAAAACATCACGTACCTCGCTCGCTTACAAATCACATTCTCACTTTCGAAGAATTCACTACTCTTCTTTGCCGAAGAGAAACATGCCTAGGTTAAAGGCACGGTCGATCGTGCCACTATCCGACGCGCTCGACGATTGCGATCCCCTTACTCCCGGCTACTTCCTAATCGGATCCGCGCTTACGACAAATCCGGAGCTCTCACTGCTAAACCTGAATGAGCAGCGGCTGACTCGGTGGCAGTTCATTTGCCATTTAACGGAGCGCTTTTGACAACTCTGGTACGCCGATTATGTTAACTCGCTTCAACAGCGAAATAAGTGGTGGCAGGTCAAGCCCGCGATCAGAGTCGGACAGCTAGTCCTGCTCAAAAATACAGCTCTCCCCCCGTGTAAATGGGGTCTGGGTCGCGTTACGCAGTGCCACCCCGGCGCCGACCGATTAATGCGAGACGTGACCATCCGGACGGCTAGCTCAGAATTTACGCGCCCCATTATAAAGCTTTGTGCGCTCCCAATCGATTGCGCACAGCCTTAATCGGCGCGTGGAAAGATCTCAGTTGAAACCGCCGTTTCAAGGCGGGTGGAATGTTCGCGCATCAGTTAAAAGCCTAAATTGCTTTAAACACAAATTCTATCGACTAGGCATTGCGGAGCTCAGCGACAAAGAATCGAGAAATTTCCGCGAGCATGCCTCTGTTTACGTAGCACGTATCGGGCATATGCTACACGCGCGTGACTAACGCTCGTCTTCGCGACTCACATCATCTCCATATAAAAGAAACGGACGAGGTGCCGCGAAGTCAAACCAATCACTTCTAGCCACCGTGTACCCAGCGGAGTTGAGACGAATTTTCGCTTCACTTTTCGGGTCAATCGCGCTTTTTCTCAGTCAGCTGCTAGAACCGCGTTTCAGAACGAGTTCGTTGCTGCCTATATTCGGAGCTCATATTATTAATCCGAGAAATTGCCACGGAGAGCGGAGCTGCGACTGCACTTACGCGCAAGAGGCACGTTCGCGCTCTTTTCGCAGACTTTCCGTACCTCGTCTCACTTGTTATCATACGCCGCCTAGGTGTAAAGGTTCAATCAATTCTCTGGTCGGACATTTTCTGGTCGGAGAAACGCTAAAGACGATCCCCGAGCCTAATTTACAAAATATTCCTGTCACCCGATTATCTCGCTGGCAACTTCCTCGTCAGAAGCTGGAATACTTTTGGTCTCGATAGTCTGCTGGATGCTTTCAGCGTTATCATTCAATTTCAAAGTGACATTCCTCGAATCAAATTAAGAAAGGAACTCTAGTGCTGACGATCGAGCGTTATTCCTCGAATCAAATTATGAAAGGAACTCTAGTGCTGATAATTGACGAACGTTATCCTCCTACTAAATGGCCCCTAGCTCGAGTTCAAGAGCTTCACCCTGGGTAGGAAGGTCTCACTCGGGTAGTAACTGTTCGAACATCAACCACCATTCTCAAATGGCCTATTACAAATCTGTATATGTTACCTACGGTAACAAAGTCGGAAACTCCGTTCCTGAAGGCGGGCAGAAATGTTTCAAAATCGCGTGACATAGAGTCGCGCAAGGGATCAGCTAATGATCAGTTCATCAAGGTGCCTCATTCGGAACCACGGCAACGCTCTCGCAGCAAAGAGGTGACGGCGTGAAGTTGGAAGGCGAGCATGGCTGGTTGCTTTGTTACGCAGGCATCAACAGGCTTTCGCTTTTTTCTTTCTTCGTTTTCCTTGTCTAATTTTTTCGCTTGAGAGTGTTGCCCCTGCTTTGTTTTTTATTATTTATTTGGTCTTCGGGGCTCTTGAGGAGCATTCACATTTCATTCACACGGTGAGAGATATCTGGCATTCCCGCGCCTACCGCCGTCTCTTCTATTAGCGTTCCTGACCTGCGGTTTTCTGCCGCCTTCTTCCCGACGCCCAGATCTTCAGCAGCTCCTGCCTCCTCCTTCGTCGGCGCTTCTGACCTGCGGCTGTTCACCGCCCTTTTTTTCTTGATCTTTGGTTAGGATATAGACTTCAAGAAATTTGCGAACGAATTCACCAAGTCCTTCGCGTTGATCAGAATTAATGGCTCCATCAGTGATGGCTTCGAATAACTGATGTCTTGTTAGCTTGAATATCATTTTTACTATAGCTCCTTTTTATATATTTAATCAATGACTGTAATTGTAGAAATGCACAACGACATCGACATGTCAAACAAATATCACGAAACTTTTGTTGAAGAAACATATCACGGTTGCGGTTTTCAATTGTCTCTTCACCAAACGTTTCAAGGTATTAAAAAATAAGAGTAACTGTTTCTGTCCTATCTATTGCACAAAATCTGATATTTGTCGCAGATTGTCGCAGTTTACGTTTTTTGTATTATATTTGGAATGAATAGAGGCAGTTTTTCCATTTAATCGAATCGCGTAAATCCACGTTAATCGCTATGCAAATTTAAGATTTGTTACGAAAAAATTTTGTTTCGATGTGTTATATTAAAAGCTCTGCTGTTCATCTAATAAATAAAATATGGAACAGAGTATAGGCTCATATAAAAGAGTAACAAAAGATTTTTTAAATATATAATGGTGATATTTCTATTATATAACACATTGCTGTGTACGAGCCGCAAGGAATGTAGCAGCGTCCGTTGTCCGCGAGCCTTAGGCATATGGATTTTGACGGTTGAAGGATGTTTGTCTAGACAACGAGAGTTTGTTGAAAAACAACAGCAGCTTAGTCTGTCACAAGCCGACGCCGCGAGCAGACGTGATCTAGATGTTTCTTTTTAATATTATTAAGACGAGAGGATATTAGTGAGTCTGTACATATTGGAAGTAAAGCGGAGTTCTTCTTTCCTCTAATCCTATGTCAATTCATTTCGCGGACCCGCTACACACGAGACGGACGCAACAATATCATTCCTTAACAATAGCTTCACAAAGAATGTCGCTATTTTGTCAGCAAAGAACGCATCGTATTTGAGTTGACTTTAACGCTTTTGCATGACTTAAAACATATTAATTAAGTACAAAAAGACTCAAAATCTTATTCCTTGATTGTTTTTAAGAATCTTAAAATACTAAGCACATAGAATACTAAATATTTATACCAAGACTTTTGGCCAGCTTCTTTCAGATTTCGACCACTGTGCGGCTGTTCCCTATCCCATCTCCCATGTGGGGGAAGAGCCGCTGCCTGGGAGAAGAGGTGACACCCACAAGAGAATTGGTGACACCGAGGATCTAAGCAAGCTAGCGCTTCCAACGTTAGGTGAGCGAACCAGTGATTCCGACCGCAGTGCAGGTGCGTCGTGAGATTCGAGCAGTGCTTGCTCGCGCGAGTGCGTGTCTTCCCTCGCGCGTGTGCTTAGCGGTCGCGGGTGCCTCGCGGCCGTCGTGAGTGTCCGAACAGTGCGGGACCATGCGTTCACCGCCGTCGACTCGTTGCGACGACGAGAACATGGACCTGGATGCGAGCGGAGCTGCCCTCCCGACGGGGGATCCACCGTATCATGCTTCTGCCGTTCGTCCGTCGTCACTCACTACCGAGTCGGTCGTCTCGGTCCAGAACTGCCGCTGGCCGCCCTTCTGGAAAAGCAACCCAGAGCTCTGGTTCCTGCAGGTCGAGGCCGTGTTCCAGGCCTTACGGGTTCGTACAGATGAAACCAAATACAGCCTCGCTGTCTCACTGCTCGACCCCTACACGCTGCAGGAATTGTCCGACGTCATCAGGTCACCGCCTTCCGACGGGAAATATGATCATTTAAAGGCCACGATCCTGAGCCGTTTCTCGGACTCGACGGATCGCCAATTGCTCCGCCTTCTCACTCAGCTTGAACTAGGCGACCGGAAGCCTTCACAGCTCCTGCGCCAAATGCGCACGTTGGCCGGTAGCAGAGTCTCCGACGACGTTGTGCGGGTCAAATGGTTGGACCTTCTACCTGTCGGAATGCAGCGCATCCTTAAGGTCCTCAAATCGCACGACCTGGAAGAACTGGCTGCCGCCGCAGATGAGCTATTGGGAAGCGGGCCTGGTTTCTCAATTACAGAAACACACGCCTCACCAAATGTTTGCGCTTCGTGCTCGTCACCTCGGACACCGCAGTCACCGCCTCAACCTGACGTCGCCGCTGAGCTGTCGGCCATCCGACAGGCGCTTGCACAGCTCACTTCATCCCAACACGACGTACTTCTCCGGCTGGACACAATGATTTCTCACGAGGCCTCACGTTCCTCGTCGCGAGGGCGTCCCGAAGCCGCGCGCTCGGTCGCCGTCCGTAGGACAGCGGCCAGGGTGGTGCTACCACCACCGTCGCTGGGGAACTGATGCCCAGCGCTGTATTATGCCGTGTACCTTCCGTGGTGCAGCCTCGTCGCCGAGAAACTAGTCGCGCTCGCGCCGGACCAGCCGCCGAGCGCGGAGCGCCCTTTCCGGAGAATCGGCTGCACGTCTTCGAGAGAGTGACCAGTTTCAAGTTTCTGGTGGACTCCGGCTCCGTCGTCTCCTTGCTGCCAAAAACGTGAGTCAAAGGCCGACTCGCTCTTTAGAAGCTTACGCTGCTTGCTGCTAATGCCTCACCGATCGCTACATACGGAACCCACACCATGGTTCTCAATTTATCGCTGCGCCGCGATTTCGAGTGGCGTTTCATCGTCGCCGACGTCAAGACCGCAATCCTGGGAGCCGACTTCTTGGCGAACTTCGGTCGCCTGGTCGACGTCGGCGGCCGACGCTTCCTCGACTTCGTCCTCGGCCTCCTCTCCAGACGCCCTGACCTGCAGCGGCTCCCGCCGCCTTCTCCGTCGGCCCTCCTGACCTGCGGCTTTCCGCTGCCGCCTTCTCTTCGCTCGGACTTGCAGAGGCTCGCGCCGCCTTCTCCGTCGGCCTTCCTCCATAACCCATCTCCAAAACATCCCTATTTTTGGGGTGGAGGAAATCCATCATTGATACATCAGACCCCCGGGGAAGGGCCTAAGGTTATGTTGGACTCCTACCGGCTAAAACCTCCTTGGATGGCACTGCGAAAGGACTTTATCCGGGGTCCCGGAGCCGCATAACTGAAATCTGGACCCCGAGTCCTGACGTACGTCGCTCCAAAAACATCCTGAAGTAATTTAGCTTATTGTAACTTTGTATCTATGTCTATGTTGTGTCTATGGCAGTCGAGCCTTTCCCGCCATCTGTCGCATAGCCAGGTGACCCGCAGCCAAGCCGTCGGAAGCAAACGCTTCAGCCGAGGGCGCTCTTCTAATTCCGTTTTGTTTTAGTTCGTCACCACGTGCCGAGCACGCACGTGTTAGAAGTCGACATCGAGAGACGCCGCCGGACAGACCTCGTGTGCGTTCTGCACGTCGCGGCTCTCGATTCTTTTTCATTTTCATTTACGTTTTTCGCCGGACCTTCGAGTGCGGAGAAGTGCGCGGCTACGCGCGACTACGACGCCGTCGAGCAGTGCCGTCGCCTCATCCGGGACCGAATGGACATCGCCGTGTGCCGGCCCTTCGGCCCCTGCGAGCCGTTACTCACGAGCTGCTCCGCTGCCCTTGTTCAAGGACTCAGGGGCACGAGGAAGGCTACTCCGAGCGTCGCACCGCTGCGCGACGGCAGGTACTTTCTCCGCGTGCGTTTCCGCCTCTCGTCTCGCGCCCCGTCGCGGGCGAGCACCTCGCGAGTGCGGTCTTTTTCCGCGTGCGTTCCGTCTCTCGCCCCGCGCCCCGTTGCGGGCGAGCACCTTGCGAGTGCGGTCTTTCCTCGCGTGCGTTCCGCCTCTCGCCCCACGCTCGTCGCGGGCGAGCACCTCGCGAGTGCGATTTTTCTCCGCGTGCATTTTCGCCGTTCGCGCCCTTTGCATTGGATCGCCGCCGATCAAGCCGGTCACGCAGGCGCCGCGTGCCGCGCCGTCGAGGACACGCGCGCTTTCGCGTGATCACGCGTCGCGGCTGTTTTGTTTTCGGGTACCGCTGACACGCAACGTTCACGTGCGCAGTATTTACGCGTGTTTCAGGATTGCACCGGGAATCTGGCTGCCCCGTCCCGCGCCACCGCGAGCACGTGCTTTCTTCGTGCGCGCTCGTTTTCCCCGTAGCGAGCGGAACCGTCGTCGCGCGCGTTTCTTTCTCTTGTGTATAATTGGGAGCTGTCGGCGCGATCGCGCGCCGCCCGTGCCCTTGCACATCGCGCATAGCTTTTCTCCGCCGACCGGTCTACGACCGGCTGTCCGCGCTAGCTTGTAAGTTCGTTTTCTGTGTTCAAGCGTGCCCCAGCAAGGGGTGGTAATAAAGATTGATTTTGGTGAATCGCTTGCTCGTTGATTGTGTCCCTACGCGGGGTGATGACCCGCTTGACGCAGCTAGACTTACAAGTCGCGCCAAGGGCACGAGTGTCGTGTTCCCTAACCTATCTCCCTTGTGGGAGAAAGGCCGCTGCCTGGGAGAAGTGGTGACCCTCACAAGAGAATTAGTGACCCCGAGGGTAGTCTAAGCGAGCTAGCGCTTCCAACGTTAGGTGAGCGAGCCAGTGATTCCGACCGCAGTGCAGGTGCGTCGTGAGATTCGAGCAGTGCTTGCTCGCGCGAGTGCGTGTCTTCCCTCGCGCGTGTGCTTAGCGGCCGCGGGTGCCTCGCGGCCGTCGTGAGTGTCCGAACAGTGCGGGACCATGCGTTCACCGCCGTCGACTCATTGCGACGACGAGAACATGGACTTGGAGGCGAGCGGAGCTACCCTCCCGATGGGGGATCTACCGCATCATTCTTCTGCCGTTCGCCCGTCGTCACGAATTACCGAGTCGGTCGACTCGGTCCAGAACTGCCGCTTTCCGCCCTTCTGGAAAAGCAACCCAGAGCTTTGGTTCCTGCAGGTCGAGGCCGTGTTCCAGGCCTTACGGGTTCGCAGCGATGAAACCAAATACAGCCTTGCTTTCTCACTGCTCGACCCCGAGTCGCTGCAGGAATTGTCCGACGTCGAATTGGAAGTCGGAGTCGCCGAATCGCGCACGTATCGCTCCCTCGAAATCGCGTCACGAACCTCAACAAGACCTCTTAATTCGGTATCACTGCAACGCGATACCGGTCAAAAAAAACGGTAAGCATTGAAGAGGTCCTCGTCCGAGACCGATGTGACTTCACGCCCCTCCTCGATTCGCAGGAGGAACGTTTCGATGTCGATACTCCGCGTCCCGGAAAAACTAATATTCCAGCGACGCATGATGTTATATACGTCGCCGGCTGTCATAACGCGATCGGTCAGGCGTGTTTCCGTTACCCTGGTCTGCAGTCGCGGAAACGCTTGCGGTACATACAGGGGCGGTATTTCCTTGGCGGTAGCGGGAACGACGGCGGCGGTACACCCCGAATCGGCGTCGACATCCGCGCGGTCGGTACCTTTAACGTATCGGGAGCCGTTCTCCCCGGCTCGAGGATCGTTCCCTCTACGAACTCCGGATTCTCGAACTTCCCGTCGACGTCATCTCCCGAAAGCGGCGGACGCATCGTCTCCTTCGCCGGTGACGGAGGCGGAGGCGACCCCCTGCGTCCCTGCTCGCTCGTATCGGAGCAAGTGCGCGCGGAGCGTCGCCGTATTGCCCGTCGCGTTAATACCGCGCGCGGTCGCCTGGTCTCGCAGCTGTTCGAGCGACAGCTCATAGACCCACGCCTTGCGATTCGCGTCTTCCGGCATTGTTCCTCGATATTTTCACTACGAACGAAACAGAAGCGGAAAAATGTGCGCTCCGAAAGAAATTCGCAAAAAAAAAAGCAAAAGAAATTATTTTTGGTGTGGAGGCGACAAATGTGGCCCTTATAATGGTAATCGCCGTTATTGTCTAAGAAAGATGTCCCAAAAAATCCGATCACCAATACAAACGATCTCCCAAAAAAATTTTGTCACTAATAATAATCGACAAAACGGGACACCACCAACAGTAAGAGCAGTCGCGATACCTTGAGCGGAACGTGATCGCACAAAGAAACAAGAAAAAAACAAAAGAAAAGCCGAAAACAAGGAAGACCGGTAAGTCGCGCGAGAAATAGATTCACCAAAAAAATACCGAAAACACGAAAAACGAGAAGCTGCGCGAGACATATCTTCACTAAAAAAAATCATAACGTCCCGATATTCGCTGCGTTCTCGGTTACCTTTGTTCTTAAAATTTTTCTCTCTTCCCGCGGGAGAGCGGAAATTGGCTATCACGTACTCGACCCTCGATCGGGCTCCACGTTGGGCGCTAAAAATTTGCGACGCTATTTTCTAGGCGCCGGCAAACTTCCGCCACCGTCCGAGGTAGTGGCAGCTACCTCAGACGGTGGCCAACCTCTGCAGATTTCTCGGGATGCTTAACTTCTATCGGCGTTGCATACCGAGAGCTGCGCAACTCCAAGCACCCTTTCACGAGTTCCTTAAGGGGGCTAAGAGAAAAGACAAATCCGAGGTGCCGTAGACGGAAGAATCGAAGAAAGCATTCGAAGTTTGCCGAGGCAACATCGTCGCTGCCGTCGCACCCGCCTTTCTGCAGCACTCAGCACCGCTGACGCTGACTACCGATGCCTCCGACACCGCCATCGGTGCTGCTCTGGAACAGCACGAGGATGGCGCTTGGCGACCGATCGGCTTCTTTTCTAGGAAGTTCAGCGATATCGTACATGCAGCGATGTCGTACATGCTATATCGAACAACGATATAGCATGTACGACAGAGAGCTGCTAGCAATCTTCGCAGCCATCAAGTTCTTTCAGCGAATTCTCGAGGGTCGCCAGTTCAAAGTGCGTACCGACCATCGGTCCCTGGTTTTTACTCCACAGCAACGATCCGACAAGGCGTCGCCCCAGCAGCAGGGGCAATTGGATTTCATTCTGCAATTCCAACTGACCTTCGAGCACGTAAAAGGGCAGGAAAACGTCGTTGCCGATGCACTCTCGCGGGCTTGCGAAATCAACATGCCGACCTCGCTGGACTTTGCCATCATCGGGGAAGCCCAGGACGACGACGATGAGCTGCCTCATCTTCGCGACAACGATGCGGTCTCGTTATAACGCCTCAACATCGAGGGCCGCGAGATTTTCTACAGCGTTGCGGACGGCCGGGTCAAGCCGTACGTGCCAGCCTTTCTACGACGCCGAGCTTTCGACGTCGTGCACGGACTCTCTCATCCCAGCGACCGCGTCACAGTACGGGAAGCAGCACAGCGCTTCTTCTGGCCGGGCATCAAGAAAGACACCGCTCGCTGGGCCCGGGAGTGTCAGCCGTGCCAGCGTGCAAAAGTGCATCGGCACAACCACTCTGCTTTGGGAAGCTTCAACACGCCCGATAACAGGTTCGATCACGTCCACGTGG